GCGGGCGGTGGTGGGCGGCGGTGATATCCGGCGCGGCGGGAGGTGGGGGTGACTGGGCAGAGCCCGGGCCTGGGGCCCTGGGGCTGGTGTCCCTGGTGGAGCTGGCGTCAGGGAAAGCGCCAGGACGCGGATGTAGGAAGACGCTGAGGGGCCTTGCTCAGCCAGCGTGTCCTGCCCTGGCCCTTCCCGCCGCGCCAGTCGGGGTAACTGCGCCTTGCAGACACTCACCAATTGCTGGGTCTGTTCAGTCCCCTTTCCCCCTGGCCAGGGCTACACATGAACAGCCCCCCCCCCCCCCCCCCCGGCCAATGCACAGGGCTGTGTGAGTGTGTGACAGGCTGACTCCAGAACACAGGTCTGAGCACGCACATGGCAGAGCAGACACACATGACAGAGCAGACACACACACACACACGGCAGGGCAGACACACACACAGTAGGGCAGACACACACATGGCAGAGCAGACACACACACACACAAGGCAGGGGAGAAAGGACACACACATACACACAGCAGGGCAGACACACACACAGTAGGGCAGACACACACATGGCAGAGCAGACACACACACACACACGGCAGGGCAGACACACAGACAGTAGGGCAGACACACACACGGCAGAATGGACACAGACACACATGGCAGAGCAGACACACACAGCAGGGCAGACACACAGACAGTAGGGCAGACACACACACGGCAGAACGGACACACACACACATGACAGAGCAGACACACACACACACACAGCAGGGCAGACACACACACAGTAGGGCAGACACACACATGGCAGAGCAGACACACACACACACACGGCAGGGCAGACACACAGACAGTAGGGCAGACACACACACGGCAGAACGGACACACACACACATGACAGAGCAGACACACACACACACACAGCAGGGCAGACACACACACAGCAGAGCAGACACACACACACGGCAGGGCAGTCACACAGGAAGCCCCAATCAGGCCTGGCCAATGCACAGGGCTGTGTGAGTGTGCGACAGGCTGACTCCAGAACACACACACGGGTACAGCTGCATCACCGTGGGCATCAGTGACTCTGGCTAACATGGGATGCATGTAAGTGCCCCCGCCCTGGGGCAGCCCCCCCAGTGCATAACCCAGGGGACTGGCCCCTGGCCTGGTTTGCAGCAGGGCCCTGTCTAACGCCCTCCTGCCGTGCGCCTGAATCCAGCTGCGTGTGGGCGGCGTGGGGGGCTCGACCCAAGCGGGGGGCAGGCAGTGCGGGTCCCCTCAGCAGAGGGGTGAGAAGCCGTCGTCTCCCCGTTCCTTAGCGCCGGACATTGTGTCTCTCCCCGTCTGTCCGCCTGCCTCT